CTGGACAGTTCCTTTGGCCACATTCACTGCCCCAGTGAGCCCAGTGGTCACTGTATCTTTGGTGCCAGTCAGCACAGTCTTGGAGGTGTCTAGACTCCCCTGGACAGCCCCTTTGGCCACACTCACAGCACCAGTCACTCCAGTACAGACAGTGTCCTTGGTGCCGGTCAGCACAGTCTTGGTGGTGTTCAGACCAGTCTGGACGGTTCCTTTGGCCACATTCGCTGCCCCCATTGCCCCAGTGGACACAGTGTCTTTCGTACCCATGACCACAGACTTGGTGGTGTCCAGGCCTCCCTGGACGGCTCCCTTGGCAATGTTCATGGCACTGTTCACCCCACTGCAGACAGTGTTCTTTGTGCTGGTCAGCACATTCTTGGTGGTGTCCACACCAGTCTGGACAGTTCCTTTGGCCAAGTTCACTGCACCCATGACCCCAGTGGTCATTGTGTCCTTGGTTCCAGTGATGACAGCCTTTGAGGTGTCCAGACCCCCTTCGATGACCCCTTTGGCCATGCCCACTGCCCCTGTGACCCCACTGGACACTGCCTCCTTGGTGCCTGTGAGTGTAGATCGGGTGGTGTCCAGCCCTCCCTGGACCATTCCCTTAGCTGTGTCCACCATGTTGGCCAGCCCGGAAGAGATGGTATCTTTGCTCTTGGTCATTGTAGAGCATACCAAGTCTTTGGCCCCTGACACCATCTGGTGAGAAAGTTCACAGGCGGTTAGGAAGAACTGGAGGGTACCTTCCACCCCAGACATCTGCCTTCCTGCCTCCCTAGTGTGCCCTGTGGGGAAGGATGGCAGTGACTGAGAGGCCTCACCTCCCTCAAAATAAGCTCCCTTCATGGACATCCCCCTGGGCTGCTCCTCATGCCTTAACAGGTTTTGGGGTTTTTTTGTAGAGACAGAGTCTCACTTTATTGCCCTTGGTAGAGTGCAGTGGTTGTCACACAGCTCATAGGACCTCCAACTCCTGGGCTTAGGCAATTCTTTTGCCTCAGCCTCCCAAGTACCTGGGACTACAGGTGCCAACCACAATGCCTGGCTATTTTTTGTTGCAGTTTGGCTGGGGCCAGGTTCGAACCCACCACCCTTGGTATGTGGGGCTAGCGTCCTACCCACTGCGTCACAGGCACTGCCCAGCCTTAACAGGTTCTAAGTCACAGAGTGACCCCAAATTCCCTCTCCCTAGCTTCCAGCCCCTGCTTTAGTAGAGACCCCATTGGTAACAGCAGGCCCTTGACTCCTGTCAAGCCCTTGCTAAGGTCCCAAGGCCTGGCTTGATGCAAATCATAGAATTAGATGTTTTGGTGCATCTTGTCTATTCTATTTATGGTAAATTTTGAAACTCATTTTCGACTAACACTGCAGAGACCAAATTGCTTATTAAAATTAACATGTTCAAGTAAAAGAAGTGAATCAAGTTTAGAAAAGTAATAACCAGGCTGGGCACTACAAAAACAATTAAAATGGTGAGGCATAGTGGCTCATGACTGTATTCTTATCACTCTGGGAGGCTAAGGTGGGTGGATTGCCTGAGATCAGGAGTTTGAGACCAGCCTGAACAAAAGTGAGACCTCATCTCTAAAAAATAGCTAGACGTACGGGGCGGTGCCTGTGGCTCAAAGGAGAAGGGCACCAGCCCTATATGCCGGAGGTGGTGGGTTCAAACCTAGCCCTAGCCAAAAACTGCAAAAAAAAAAAAAAAAATAGCTGGGCGTTGTGGCAGGCACCTGTAGTCTCAGCTACAGGTGAGAATCACTGAGAGAATCACTTGAGCCCAACAGTTTGAAGTTGCTATGAGTTCTGATTCTACAGCACACTACAAAGGGCAACAAAGTGAGATTCTGTCTCAAAAAAAAAGAAAATTAAAAATTAGCCAGGCATGGTGGCATGAGCCTGTAGTCCTAGCTGTCCAGGAAGCTGAGACAGGAAGATTGCCTGAACCCAGGAAATGGAGGCTGCAGTGAGCTGTGATGATGCCACTGAACTCCAGCCTGGGTGACAGAGCAAAACAGTCTCAAAAACAAAACAAAACAACAACACCAAAATACTAAAAAATTTTAAATATAATAATAACTGGAACAGTATAAAGAGATGTATAAGATTTGAGCCTGGGAACTTGCTGATAACGTTAATCAATTTTGACCTACTGAGGGCAGTTTTCTCTAATATAACTGAACAAAACAAAGGTGGTGATGGCCTAGGACTTGCCACCACTCAGGTGGGCAATGGCTGGGACATTTGTTGTTGTCACAACTGAGTGGTACTCCCAGCATGGGATGGGTGGAGGCAGGGATGCTTCTCAGCACCCTCCAGCACCCAGGATTGCCCCACCCTAGAAAACAAGATTGGGCCCCAAATTGCTATAGTAGTGAGGTTGAGTAGTCCTGAAATTATAATCTCACCACCTGACCCCTGCCCAGTGTTGCTCAGGTGAGCACCTTGGGCTCTGTAGCTAGAGAGACCTGGGTTCAAATCCCATCTCTCCTTTCTGCACTCAATGTGTGACTTTAGGCAACCCTTCTCTGAGCCTACATCCTCATCTGAAAAATGTGGGTTAAAATAGTTCCTCCTTCAGGGATGGTATAGATGAGTCAAGGTGCCTGAAGCCTTTCACAAGCAGTACCAAGGAAGGTGCATGAGAATGCATGAAGGGTGGGGCCCTGGCTGGGGAGCAGGCTCTGAGATCCTCTGATCTGGCAGGTCCTGGGGGCAAAGGAGGGTTGTGGGAGACTCCAGGTGGGGGTGTGTGCTAGCTGGAAGAATTGTGCCTTGCTGTTTACTTGGCATTCTGGTATCCTAGATTAGCTCCTCTGCTTGGCCATGGCTTGGGGACAGTGTTAATGCCAGAGGATGCTAGTTACTCAGGACTGAGGATGGATGCTGCATAGGCGTTTGTTCAGCTCCTGAGTGTCCAGGGTTCAGATCCCTTAGTACCACATCTCACTGTGTGACCTTTAGCAGGTGGCTCAGCCTCTGCTGCTGCTGTCATGTGGGACACTGTCACTTCCTGGGGAAGAGTAACTGTGAGAAGTGCTCAGCACAGAGCCTGGCACACAGTGATTACTTTGTTATTCTTTTGGTGACATTGTCCTAGGCAGAGACTAGCATAGACTGTCAGGAGCCTCCCCACACTAAGTGAGGCAGCACTGTACCCATTTCACAAATGTGGAAATAGAGGCTCAGAGGGGGGAGCTGTGCCTGGGATTGCCAAGCAGGACACTCAGAGATGTGTCTGCCTTCTCTTTGGCCTATAGCAACCCAGGATGGGACATCCCAGGGGTTTCTGGTCCATTGGCCCCTCACCTTTTCTGAAGGCTGTAGCAGTTTCTCCATCCCCCTGGCTGTCTGCTCCAGGTTGGTGGCCACTGCAGGGACAGGGGTCAGTCATGGAGGGTGGGATCACTGCTCTGGTGCCCATTGCATAATCACTGGGCACAGCCCGAAAGGTTAGGAATGTCCCAGCTGCCTGGCCAGGGACAGCGGGAGGTGACTTCCACGGCCCCTGGCCAGGCTCAGCTGCCTCCCCCCACTAGCCCGGGACTCCCTTGGCCCCCAAGGCTGCAATCCCCTGGAGCAGAATTTTCTCTGCTGGGTCCTGGGTGCTGGACGCTCACCTTGAGTTCAGGGGGGATTCTATAGCCCGGGGGAGTGCAGGCTCTGCCCTGCCCTGTCCCACCCCCACCACAGCTGCCAGCTTCTTGTCCCAGGGTGAGGTATGTGGAGCAGAAGTCAGCTGCCTGGGGCACTGGGCCCAAAGCAGGGCCCAGCCCAGGCAGCCACCCCCAACCCTGTTTTCCCTGCAGCAGCCTCCCAAGCACCCAGAGACACTTCTGCCCTTCTCTGGGAGCCAGGATAGAAATCTTCAATGTGCTCAGACACACAGAGTACCTTGCTTGGGCCATAGTGCACCAGAAATGGGGTTAGGGGGCATTTCAGGGAGACAGGCCTGGTTCATACCTGCTTTTGCTGTTTATGCCACCTTGGATGACTCATCCCCCAATATCAGTGCCTCAGTTTCCCCATGTAACACTGAATGAGTGTGGCAGCCTCCTAACACCTAATAAGACTATATGAGCACATATGAAGGGTTCCCAAAGAAAGAGTTTCTTTCCCTGGGTCCTCCCACAGAGGTCCCCACTTTTGGGCTATCCACTCACCATCAGCCTGGGGCTGGACAGCCTCTGTGGCAGGAGCACCCATAGGGTTGGTGGTTGGCTGGGTTTCTCTTGCTGAGCTGTGGGTATTGGCCACTAGGTTCCGGGCAGAACTGAAGCCAGGGAGGGACCCCAACAAACTGCTCAGGGTCTGCAGGAGTGGGGAGGGCAGCTTCAGCCAGGCCACAGCAGGAACAAGGTGGGAGGAAGCATCATTCAGCCCAACACTGACCCACCCCTCATCCCTAGAAGACCTCCAAAAGTGTCAAAGCCACTCTGAACCTGCTTCTTCCCCAGGCAATGGGCAGATTCAGCCTGCCTTCCATGGACAGAGGATAAAGGGCAGCTACCAAGTCCCCAAAGACCTTTTATTCCTCAGTCTCCACTGCACAAATGGAGAAAATGAGGTTCAGAGAGGGGCTCAGGCTGGCCCAAGGTCACACAGTGAGGAAAGTGCTAAGGTCCATGTGAGCCCCAGCTTGGGACAGGAGAGATGACTTGGCATTGTGGCTCTCAGTGCCCACCAGCCACACTGGGGAAAGCTCTTTCTTGACTCCAGACCCCAGGACCATGGAAATCACCTTCTCAAGGCTCAGCAAGGATGGATCCCTCTCTCCCCTCCCTCACCTTGCCCTTGGGTTTGGGGTGATCCCGGCTGCCTTCATCCTGAGCAGACATGGTGGTCGCCTGAGAAGCTGGAAGGGGGCAGAGAAGATGCATGAATGGGGGGGATCCCAGGCCTTCTGTTTCACTCTGTCCCCCTGGCAGGCTTAGCACTCCCTGGCACCTGCCTGGAGGCCTGGCCTTGCCCTGGCATCAGCAAGGATGTCACTACTCACCTGGACTGTGTGAGGGTCTCTTGGATCAACAGGCTGTCTCAGCTGGTGGCCGGCTCTGCTCTCTCTCTCAGGCCTTATAGGGTCTGGGGCAGGCGCGGGCCCAGCCAGCAGAGGCAGGTGGCCAATTGGCTGGTGGGGGGGCAGCGTGGGTGATCACGTGCCTGCCCACATGGCCCAGCATGGGCTGGGGCCCAGCACCTTTCCCCTGCTCTCTGTCCACAGCACTTTCTGCCCACAGTCCTGGGCCAAGGGCCCTACACGCCAGCTGCACTCCCCTCCTGGGCCTCCCCTGGGAACCCCCTGCATGGCCTCTCTTCCTCCAGCTTCTGTCCATAAGGTGGGCACCATCCAAATCCCTGCTTCACTGAGATGTCCTGGCCAGTTAACATATTTGTGCCTCAGTTTCCCCTTCCAGACTCTTTACTGTGGCCCTCCTGCTTCCTCCCAGCTCTCCTCCTCCTTCCAGTCTCCCCCTCATTTATATCACTCTAGACACAAGAACCCCCACACTGTGCCAGCAACACTGCCAGGCATAGTCCTGCCTCAGGGCCTTTGTGCTGGCTGTGCCTTCTGCCTAGAGCACCCTTCCCCAGATACTTATATGGCTCCCTATGTCTCTCACCTCCATCAGGCCTGTTTTGTTGCTTGCTGTGCCCCCTGCACGTAAAACAGTGCCTGGCCTACATTTAGCACTTAATAAATGTTTGGGGCCAGGCCCAGTGGCCTATAATCCCAGTACTTTGGGAGACTGAGGCAGGAGGATGGATTGTTTGAAGCCAGGAATTTTAGACAAGCCTGGACAACACAGTGAGACCCTGTCTCTAAAAAAAAAATAATAATAATAATAATTGGCTTGGTACCCGTAGCTCAGTGAGCAGGGCGCTGGCCACATACACTGAAGCTGGCAGGTTCGAACCTGTCCTGGACCTACTAAACAACAATGACAACTGCAACCAAAAATAGCTGGGCATTGTGGTGTGTGCCTGTAGTCCCAGCTAGTCGGGAGGCTGAGGCAAGAGAATCGCTTAAGCCCAAGACTTTGAGGTTGCTGTGAGCTGTGCCGCCACAGCGCTCTACCGGGGTGACATAGTGAGACTCTGTCTCAAAAAATAAATAAATAAAAATTAGCTGGGGGTGGTGGCACATGCCTGTAGTACCAGCTACTTGGGAGGCTGAGGCAGGAGAATCGCAGGAGTGGGCTATGATGATGCCACTGTACTCGAGCCTTGGTGACAGAGTGGAGACCCTGTCTCTAAATAAATGAATGAAGATCTGCCTAAATGGACCAACTCATAGGGTAGTTGTGGGCATGAAGTGGGGTCCTCCTGTGTGTGTCCAATCTACCCCTGTGCCTGGCACCTGCAGATACTCAGCAAACATTAATTTAGCATTGCTCAGGCACAAATGGAGTCTCTGAGAGGGGTTTCCTGAGCAGGGAGAGGGCATGTCACTCTCCAGAAGGCGCTCAGGTCAGAATGCAGACTGAGGCAGAGCACAACAGAGCTGTGGGGGCCTACTGGGAACCAGGCCTGGTGGACTTGGGTCAACCCAGGGAAGCTGCTCAGAGGAGGTATCCTTTGCCTGAGGCCACATAGCCACAAAGTGGTGAAGACAGAATTCAATCCAAGACCTGGGACCTGCATGCCAAGTGGGCTATCTGTGGGCACACAGAAGAATGACTGCCATCCCCTCCCTGGGTCTTGTCCCTCCTATTCACACATGAGACAGCTTTCCCAGCCACATGCTATTGGTGTGAAGGGTATACCAAAGCCAGAAGGAGGGAGAGTCAGGCCGCTGGGCCTCATGGCCCTGGGGCCATCTCCTTGGAGCCATCACTATGTTTGCCAAACAGTCAGGGAACAGAGGGGAGTATCCCCCAACCTCTGTTCTCTCAGCCAATGCTTCTCAAGGTTGGAGGGAAGACCTCTGGGTATTCCCCTCCTGTTCCTGCAGGGCAGCCACAGCAAAGAAAATAATAAAAATGGTCATAAACACCCCAGTCAGAGCCTGTCCCTCCTTTGCTCCATGGCTCCTACCTCTGTCGAGGTCAAAGCCCAAGTCCTCCCTGAGGCCCATCAGACCCTGCATGACCTGCCCCAACCCCTCCTGCCCCCTCCTCCCCCCCTCCCCCTTACTCTGCTCCAGCCACATGAGCCTCCTCATTATGCCTGCAAGGCCAGGTGTGGCCCTACCTCAGGGCCTTTGCACAGGCTGTGCCCTCGCCTGGAGCTCCTTCAAGGACTTTCCTCAGATGTCATCTCCTCAGAGAGACCTTCCTGAATCCCCCCTTTAAAAATACATACCTCCCCACTCCCCACCCACTTCTTATTTTTCCCATCATCTATAAGCACTAATGCAAGTATTTTTCTTGCCTGTCTTCCCTGCTATACTGTAAACTCCCAGAGGACAGAATATGTTTTGCTGCTGCTGTGTCTCCAGGGTGGAGAACTGCCTGGCACACAGCAGGTGCTCAATAAATACTTGTTAAATGAACAGTGAATGGTAAATGAGGCATTTAACTAGGTAAGTGAACATGGAGGGATAGAGGAGAGAGCTATCTTGCGGGAGTAAAGTCTGAGAAGGCTTCCTGAAGGAAGTGACTTTGGAATTGGGCCTTGAGCATGGGTGAGATGTGTCCAAAAGATGGATGGGAAGGTGGGAAGGGCATTCTAGGCAGTGAGCACAGCCCAGACAAAGGCTGGGAGGTATGGGGACACTATGCACAATTCAGTGGGAATAGGGCAAAGTATCTGAGTAGGGCTAGAGGGTGAAGCTAAAAGGTAGAGAGCTTGGGCTGTAGTCTGAAGGCAATGGGAAGCTACAGAGGTTCTAGAGTAGCAGCAGGGAGGCAGATATGGCTGGCCAGCGGGAAGTGGTTGGAGCTCCCAGAGCTGCCCTTTGGACTGGATCCCGGGGAAGCCAGGGCCACCCTGACTTCACTGCACCAGATTATGGTTTCCCAACACCCTGTCCCACCTCAGGGGAGGCTAAGGGGCAGCTGAGAATGTGGTCAGAGGATGAGAGGGCCCTCATGAGACTGTCCCATGACCCTTGTCCTGCCTCTGTCTCCCCTATCCTGACCAGTGCAACTGGAGAAATCACAGTGAAATCAGCTCCTGCAGGGCCAGGCCCAAGAGCTGCCCCATCTCCCACTTCCCCCTCCTGTTTGCTTCCTGCAATTTCCAAGAAATTCTAATTAATACTAAGATGAGAACTACATGATAGGTAGGTACAACTGAGAGGGCACTGCTTAGCCTAGGTAGGCTGGACACTAAGGGCGGAATCCCAGACAGGGTGACAGGTGAATAGGGAAGCATCATTCCTTCCAATTCTCAAACCGTGGCTTGACAACCTCCTCCCCATATCCCTGATATCCTGAGACTGAGACTCATGCAGGGCAGAGCAGATGCCAGGGCCTCTGGACAACACAAAGCACCTTTATTCTGGAGCATGATTCCCAAACGGCTAAGCAAGTGGGTCTGGCACAGTTGGGGCTTTGGGGGACCCCTCAATCCAGGATAGTCAAGCTGGGGGAGAAGGGGCCTCATTTTTTAAAGCCCCAAATATAGAAGCCACTGGGCAAAATGTTGTGTTTTTGGGGGGGAGTTTCTTTTTTCTTTTCTTTTGAGACACAGTCTCATTTTGTCTCCCTCAGTAGAATGCTGAGGCATCATAGCTCACAGCAACATCGAACTTCAGGGGTTCAAGTGATCCTTTTGTCCCAGCCACGGAGTAGCTGGGACTACAGGCGCCCACCACACAGCTTATTGGCCACTCATGGTTATTGAGAGAGTTTCAATTAGCTTCTTTGTGTTGGGGAACAGGACAGAGGTGCAGAATCCAACTCAGGACTAAAGTCCTTGTGGTTCTCCAGGTCTCTTTCCCACCCATCCAAGGGAAAGACAGGAGGGTCCCATGCATCAAGTACAAGGTGTTATTGACTTGGTGCTTATGCAGGGCCACAGGGGAGCAGCTGGGACCTCAGCATATGGGCACCCACAGTCAAAAGTCCAACTCCGGCATGAAGGTGTGCTTGATGGAGGGCCCAGGAGGGTCTGGCTCCTCCTCATGAATGTCCCCTCCCCCATGCTGGGCCTGCCAGGCTCTCTGCTGAGCTGGCCAGTCCAGATGTGCCCAGCGAGGGTCAGGGCTTCCAACAACCTCATCCACGTAGGCTGCCAGGTCAGGTGGGGGTTCAGGGGACTCCACAAGGATAGGTGCAAAGGGCCCCACCAGCCAGGGCAGTGGCACAGCCTGCACCACTAGCTCCAGCAGCTCGTCCACGCAGGCATGTGCCCGTGCCACACTGCCCCGGCCCTCGGCCACTGCAGTTGCTGGCACATCCTCCAAAGAGCGGGCATTGGCAAAGGTGGCCTGCAGGGCATCCACACTACGCCGCACCTCAGCCACCATCTCCTGGGCGCCAGCAGGCAAGCCCCGCACGTTGGCCTCTAGGGCGTCCACGGTGCTCTGCAGGTCCTGGGTCAGGCTGCGGGACAGCACCAGAGTCTCTAGCTCCGCCTGCAGGGAAGGGTGGCAAGGACCTCAGTTTTCCTGACAGACATCTGATGTGACTGACTTCCTGCCTTTTCCACAGTGTAGCTACAATGGAATCACCAACCTGGCTCAGTTTTCCCCATGCACATAGAATATAACTTAGCCCTGCCTCAATCTCCCTAATAGGCACAAAAGGGGCCCCAAAGTTGCCTCAGTTTCCCTGACAGAAACACAAGGGGACCCAGCTTTGCCTATTTCCCCAATGGATGCCCAGAGGGACCAATGCCTTACCTCAGTTTCCCTTGTGGAAACACAATTGGAACCGGCTCTTCCTGTTTCTTCCATGGACACCCACTAGGACCATTATCCTTCCTCATTTTCTCCCATGGGCACCCTCCACTTGGCTTGAGACAGCTTGAGCCTGCCCCTGGCAGCAGGGACTGACCTGGAACCCCTTACTTCCTCTCCCTAACCACCACCTCACCTGATCCCCTATATCTTTCTCACCTGGCTTCGGCGTCGGCCATTCTGCAGAGGGTGCTGGCTCCACTCCACCCAAAGCTTGTGTACCTTCCCAGGGAAGGCTGGGGCAGTGGGGGTCACCCCGTATTGCATGAGGTCAATCTGCAAGGACAGAGACCATGGCTGTCAGGGCTGGAGGATTCAGAAGGAGGGATGCAGGACTAACCCTTACCCAGATCTGGCTTCAGTAAACATGTAGGTTCACAGACATATCGTGAAGAGCCTTATGGGCTGCAGGGAGGACTTGGGCTTTGGCCCTGGGGAAGGTGGGAGCCATGGAGGGGTGTGGGCAAAGGGACAAGCCCTGACTCAGGTGCTCACATGCGCCTCCTGGTGGCTGCACCAGGTAGAACAGACCTAAAGAAAGGATTCTTTTTTGGAGACATAGTTTGGTTCTATTGCCCCAGGCCAGAGTACTGTATTGTCATAGTTCACAGCAATTTCAAACTCCTGGGCTCAAGTGATCCTCCTGCCTTACTCTCCCTAGTAGCTGAGACTACAGATGCCTGCCATAATGCCCAGCTAATTTTCTTAGTAGAGATGGGGTCTTGGTTCTTGCTCAGGCTGGTCTCAAACTCCTGAGCTCAAGGGATCCTCCCACCTCAGCCTCCTGGAATGCTGAGATTACAGGCATGAGTCACCAAGGTTGGCCAGGATGGAGGATTCTGATAATAAGCAGGCCAAGGTAAGAGGAATGCTATTTAGCCCTTGAACCCATGGGGATGGAGGCAGCCAAGCCTGGCTCTGCCTCCCCCTTCAAACTAGCACTGGACCAGGTACTCAGCTGGTGCTCAATTTATGCTGATTAGCCTGATCCCAGAGCTGGGACAGAGGACACTCACCAGCTCCAGCGTCTCCTGCAGCTGGGCCAATGTGTCCTGGGCGCGGTGTTTGCTCTGCCTCAGTTTCCCTAGAGAGTGCTCATATGCCAGGTGGCGGATCCGTGATGACAGAGAGCCCAGACGCACAAAGTAGCCCTGTTGTTTTCTCTGATCCTCCAGTGAGCCCACTTCTGGGCCCTCAGCCTCAGCTGCCAGTGCCACTGGAGGATGGGTCAGGGAAAAGAGCATCATCATGGCTACCCCTCCCCATCTACTCATCCACCTTCTAGGTAGGCAAGCCCATGGCCTCCCAAATTTTTAATTTCCCTTTACTAATATCAATGCAGTTAATCTTCCCGAAACCCTAAGGTGTTGGCACTATTACTGGCTCCATTTTATAGATGAGGAAAATTGATGTAAACTAGAGGGTGCAAGGGGCAAACCTGGATTCAAATCCAGGCCATGCTTAACCATTCTATTAAACAGCCTCCTAAGGAATAGATTGCAAGTGCATGGCACACAGTATGTGCTTAATCAATGCCTCACTGCCTTTCTGCCAAGGAAGGAATAAGGCAACATTCTTCTGATGCTGTAAAGCGGGAGCTAAAATTTCACATTATCTCCAGGGTCACGCAGGTATCAAGAATGACTGAGGCAGATTAAGATGTAAAAGGTCAGGGAATAGTCAGGGGAAAGGAACCATCTAAAGGGGCAGATCTATCTGCTTGTGTCTAGTTTTTCAAGAAAAGCCAGAAATTAGAATTTGTGGTACAAAATCTGATTGTGAAATGCATGAAAAGAATTAAAGCGTTGGCTTAGTGCCTGTGGCTCAAGTAGCTAAGGTGCCAGCCACATACACCTAAGGTGGTGGGTTCAAATCCAGCCCGGCCCCGCCAAACAACAATGATGGCTGCAACCAAAAAATAACCAGGCATTGTGGCAGGTGCCTGTGGTCCCAGCTACTTGGGAGGCTGAGGCAGGAGACTCGCTTGAGCCCAGGAGTTGGAGGCTGCTGTGAGCTGTGATGCCATAGCACTCTACTCAGGGAGGCAGCTTGAGGCTCTGTCTCCAAAAAAAAAAAAAAAAAAAGAATTAAAACGTTTAAAAGATATTGAAATAAAAAAGATATTGCATGGGCCAAATAATGCCATTTAATAAGCCCACAAGTTTGAGACCTTGGTCCTCAATCCTATAAGTTAATTATGCCCTCTGGGGTCTAGGTGATCTAATTTCTGGTGGGATATGGGTTGGGGGGCCACATAAGTGACCTAGAGGTCAGGCCTGGACTGGAGTTCCATGTTTCCAGCTGATCTGCTGTGTGTCATTGGGCTAGTCTTGGGCCTCTTTGATCTACACTTTGGGGTGATGGTGACTAGGTTGAGAAGATTTAGGGTTAGGTGGAGAAGGTGCTGGCCTCACCCAGCTCCTCCTCGGTCATGGGCAGGCAGTGGTCCACCAGCTCCTCGGACTTCTCCAGCACAACATCCACAGCATGGCTCACGGAGCGCTTTAGGTCCACGCTCCAGCGCCGGCCCCGTCGCGCCAGGTCCACCATGCCTGTGACGCCACTGGCCACTGCATCCTTGGCTGTGGTCACCACCTGGTGAGAGGGATCCCCACTCTAGGCAATGCAGGGCTCTAGTTGTTTTTCCCACCTGGGCTCCCTGGGGCTGGGACTCAATGACTCTCAGACCTCTCTCTGGCTCTAGGTCTTACTTTCCTCTCTATAAAATTGGTGGGGGGAGGGTTACAAAATCCAAAATCCGGCTTGGCACCTATGGCTCAACCGGCTAAGGTGCCAGCCACATACACCTGAGCTGGTGGGTTCAAATCCAGCCCGGCCCTGCCAAACAACAATGATGCCTGCAACCAAAAAATAGCTGGGCGTTGTGGCAGGTGCCTGTAGTCCCAAGCTACTTGGGAGGCTGAGGTAGGAGAATCGCTTGAGAATCGCTTGATGCCACAGCACTCTACCCAGGATGACAGCTTGAGGCTCTGTCTCCAAAAAAAAAAAAAAAAAAAAATCCAAAATCCTTCCCTCAGAGGGGTTGTTTGTTTTTTGTTTGTTTTTTTTGGAAAGAGAGTCTCACTATGTCGCCTTCAGTAGAGTGTCATGGCTTCACAGCTCACAGCAACCTCAAACTCTTGGGCTTAAGAGATTCTCTTGCCTCAGCCTCCCTAGTAGCTGGGACTACAGGTGCCCACCACAACACCTGGCTATTTTTTGGTTGCAATTGTCATTGTTGTTTAGCAGGCCTGGGCCAGACTTGAACCTGCCAGCTTCGGTGTATGTGGCTGGTGCCCTACTCACTGAGCTACAGGCACCAAACCCCTCAGAGGGGTTGTTGAAGGAGTTGTGGGTTACCAGCACCTACTGGCACAATATATGTTAGTGGTGATTATTTTAATCAGGCTGTTATTTTATTTTTTTGTTTATTTTCTTTGAGACAGAGTCTCACTCCATCGCCCAGGCTAGAGTGAAATGGTGTCAGCCTAGCTCACTGCAGCCTCAAACTTCTAGGCTCAAATGATCCTCTTACCTTAGACTCCCAAAGTGCTGGGATTACA